CCCCTTTTTTTTCTAAAATTAACTACACCTCCTGGACCAACACATTCAACTGGGAGGGAGCAGGAAATTCTAAATTAATTGACAATGTCGAATATATTACAACGCTGTTATCTCCGGTTAGCTTACCCCACTGTATTTCTCTTTAGAGTGAAAATAGAAGGCGTCTGATTGAACTGATTCTGATTAGTTGAACTGCAAAGACGAGATGTTGATGAAGGATTATAATGACTCGACGGTGGTGGTTAAAAGGGGTTAGGGATCATTGTAAATAGAGTGTTTCAAACTATTCTCCCTCCTTCCCCTTCGTTGAAAACCATGCAAACCCCTTAAATACCTTGTGTTCAGGAAATCGCATTTCGGTTCCAACCAATGTTTCTGACACCATGGCCCAGTATGGTGCCAACTGGCTTAACGGTGCACCCTGTTTGACTCCGACAGACATTGAAAATTCTATTGAGAGTAATTGATTACGTTGGGTTTTATTCTTGTTTCAGCTTATCTTTCGTAAGGTAGCCGATGTCAAGAAGGAAAAGGAACTAGCAGAAAAGCGGAAGAACGACCCTCCTCTGGACCTTGCGAACGACCACCCAGTGCGGAAGCTCATATCCCGCTTCCGGAAAATTAGTGACACGAAACATGACGTCAAGCAGCAGAATTCTCATGACGCGGAGCGCGGCAGTTCTTCCTCCATGGCAGTTCAGGAGGAGGAAAGCACCACTCCGAGTGAAACACCAAAAGCCGGCGGGGCGCGGATTATCACCGTTTCGGAAAGCCCCAACGTGGAAACAGGCAAAGTGGCTCCCCGTTTAGGGGGAGGGGCTTCGAGATGGGGCAGGTTTCTGGGCGGAGCGACCAGCGGAAGTAGTTCAACGGATTCTGCGAACGACGGTAAGGGAGGAGATAAAGCGATACCTTTAAACGATTTGTCTCCGAAAATCGAAACTCGTTCCGGCGAAGCTCCGAAAATCACGACCAAGCCAATGGCGAAATGGGGTCGCTTTCTTGCTAAAGCTCAAGAGCCCATAGAAGAATCCCCGGAGGAAGATCCCAAGTCAACCAATCTCAAAAAGACAGATTCCACAGATAGTGGTATTTTGAGAAGCAACAACAAACTGGATCAGATCGGGGAGGAGATGCTGGGCTTAGATGGGCATCACCTTCTCCATCATCACCACCATCACCATCCACATTCCCTCCAAACCACCCTCAACATCAACACCATGAATAACCTAACGCGGGAGACCCTCAGCAACAGCAGCAACAGCACCAACCAATCTATCGGAGCAGCAGCCAGCACCAGTATGCCAGCCACCGTCTCCGGGGGCCTGTCAGCTGCTGAGCAGCACATGTTGACTTCATTATACGACATTCGGTTGGAAATCAAGGAGGAAATCGACAGTCTGAGGCAAAAAATGAACAGAATAGACGAGCATATCTCAGAGGTCCTCCGCTTTTTCTCTCCCGTCTCCACTCCGTGTTCCTCAGTGTCCACGTACCCTAGCTCTAAATTCAACTCTCCTCAAAACGTCACCACTTCCAACAGCGCTGATGCTTCACCCAAGAATTCCGTTTCCTCCTCACCACGCCACGAAGAGGCTGGAGGGGGTGAAAGTTCAAATCTCACCACAGGTGAAGTCACGCCCATGAACATATCTACCGAAGCCAGCGGTGGGGAAGAGCAGCCAGTCCTGCGGAGTCGACCAACGCAAAACCCTCCGGAGCAAATCGCGGCTCCACAAGAAAGTACGAGCAGGAAGAAAAGTGGAAATGGTAACAGTGGGAAGAAGAGTAACAGGGGGAATGGTGAGTCGTCTTCAAGCAGCAGAAGGTCTTCGAAATCTTCAAACAGTAGTAACGAGAGTCACAAACAATCCTCGGGCACCCCAGAGCCAGTGCCAGGCCGTGTGCACGGATCGACGCAGGTCGATGTACCGGAAGAGGAAGAGGAACTCTCATTCCCCAACGACCATGACCCTGACAGATTGTGAGTCAGGCTCATCCCTACTCGATTTGTTTTGTAAATATTGTTATGATCAGAAAATATTCTGAGAGAATAATGGCCTGAAAGTGATCCTGTTTCTTCGACAAAGCGTTTTCATAAAACTGTGATGTTTACATAACTTTTCAACCACATTTTATTCCATTGCATTCTCCCAATCAAATTACTGTTGTATACCTGTTTCTATTTATGACACGTAGTACATACTTCAAGCCCACCTGCAGTTTAAGTCTGTTATCTGATCGCTAATGAACATTTCTTAATTCTTAAAGCCTTGCATTTATGTATTCTTCATGTTTTGTACATACCAGCATGACGATTAACATTCCTAATTGAGATGTGTGTTTCATGAGTTTTTTAAAAGGTTCGTGACATTTTACCTCAGTGGAGTCGTCAATTTTTCTTACTTAACTTTAAACAATTCGGTAGGTCATAGAGCACAAGGACACTTCCTCTGATCTTTAAGAGATTATTTTACTGAACAATGTCTATGTTTAATATGTTTGTTCTTTTTCTCCTGATGCCATTGTATCTATCACTCCAGTGATGATCGTTGATGGCATATCAAAGACTCAAAAAAAACCCACAATTTTGTATAATTCTATTCTCGATTAATGTTTTCGCCTTGCTGTTATAAGGTCTTGTTCATAATGAGAAGAAAATGTCTACACAGAACACTGGGCACGAAGAGAAAGACGCACTGGAAAAATAAACTACTGTCCAGGGGATATACAGGTATTATATACAACACACACACACACACACACACACTCACACACACAAACACACACACACACACA